ACGCGTGCCGAACGTTGCCGATCCCTGGCTTATATAAACCCACTCAAACCTCTCCCATTTACCCAATTGCTACTATGCATCCTGAAATCAAGTATAAACCACAGAACTTTGGAAGAATAAAGGACTGATGATTAAACAATGATTATTTAATAACTCACCTATGTATCTCTTGGCCAGAAGTGCAATTAGGCTCCTCCATCTTATAACCTGTTTTTTGTCTTCAAAATCTGTAAAGTATCCTGAAGGGCTTCCCATCAATTCAAATCCTTAAATAAACACAAGAAGTCTAACTCCCCATTTTCATGAACTGGTTTATTTTTGATTAGCTAAGGAAGTCATTGAGTCTTATTGACACTTAAGAATCTGAAACTACACAAGACACAGGAAATTAGTTACATTAAATGGGCTACCTTTCCTGAGGCCACACACTAATTCCACACAAATAGTTACTTTGGTCTTGAGGTCGTTCAAACTCATTGCTTGTCAATGAAATCAACAGTATTAGGAGTTACCATCTCAGCTTATGAACTGGAGGGTGACTCAGAGGTACTGGAGGTGTGTATAGTTGTATATGGGTAGTGAAAGCAAGATGAGTTTAGGAACGTGTCCTCTTTGGTCTCTTCTTGAGCGTATTTCAGCGAGGAGAGTTAATCACAGCTTCCAGTTCAGAGTCTCAGATTAATGCCAAAGCACGTACCAGTAAAGCCCTAATGTGCTGCTTTACATTATTCCCAGTGTTCTGTGTGCAGAATTTCCATTTACATTAATGGGAGTCAAGTGTAAGTAGAAGCGAACTAATTTTGGACCAACATCTGCTCTGGCAAAAGCTGTTTAGTCTGATGATTGTACATTTGATCCAACATGTTTAACGGACCAGGAAAAAGCTGTCCTTACCTGGAATGAGTTTGTTTTTCCAGAGAAGATCCATCAAGTTATCCAGACTGGTAAAGTTGTAGTGAAGTTTTCCATTTGTCACGCTAAAGAATATAGGCAATCGAAAGATACAAAACAAAGAAAATAGCTAAAGTAAGCAAGAGAGACTGAAATATTAACATGACAAAGCAGGTCCCTAACTAAATTTTGATTGTCAGTTCTTCTGGCCAGCAACTGTATTACTGTTCATATAGCATGTGACACACTGGTGCAGGGCCCCGTTTTTGGTTGACCCCTAGGTGCTACTGTAAAACAAATAATAGCATTTGTTAAATAATGAAACTGTATCACTTGTATACTTAATATAAATGAAACCTTTGTCTCAAATAGATCAACTGCTTTAGTTATATAATTCACAGCAACATTTCAGTTGTTTAGAAATACATATGTTATTCTTTATTCTGATTTTAAAACAGTTTTGCCATAATGTGATTATTCTAACAAAGCCAGCATGTGGCTCCAGTAGAAAGAAGGCTGTATTACGTCTGGGTAAGATGCCCATTCTCTTCTGGCACACAGGACCAGTATGGTACTTCTAAAGGATTTACATATGAGATTTTTTTCTTTTAAAGTGATAGGTGTCTATAGCATCTAAGCACAGGCTTTTCCTTGCCCAGCCCATGGCATTTTCATCTCCCAGAGGCAGGAACATAAGCAACATAACAGATCTGATGAGAGAGCAGGGGCTTTTTACCCATGCTTTCATTTGGTCCCTGTGTTATTTGAATCTCCAATTTCTTACCCATGTACAAAGCAGCTTTACCAAGATTTTCTTCACTCTATTTGCTTTCTTGCGACCACCAACTTGTTGCCTAGTACACCCCTGGTCCAAAATGAAAATATGCCTGACTGTTTAATTCTCATGATTTTGATTCTTACTCTGGTTGTTTAGCTAGATTCTTCATTGCTTTTGGCACAGCTGAGGATTAATAAATATATTTGCTGGGTAAGTGAGAAGATCTTTCCTGCACCTGTGGAAGCACACACCTACAGTAACGGTGTTCAAATTTTAACAGCCTTTAATATTTTCCATATACAGTGTGGGTGTAAGACTGCCATAAAAGCCATTCCCGGCTTACATCTAGGGCCAAATTTTTGGATGAGTCTCCTTCTAACCTCCTGTAGCGACCGGGTGTGGCCTCTCTCGGAGACAAACGAGGGACAGCCGCAAGCACCCCCTGGTGGGCAGAGCCAGGACACCAACGCCCGCACCGCCGGAAGCAGAGGGGCGGGACAGGAACCAGAAATATAAAAGGCCAGCCCTCCAGCTCAGTTAGAGAGGAGCCGTCGGCGGAGAAGGACATCTCTCACCCACTACTGGGGGTTGCCATTAGCCATTTATCCCAGTGAGATGGACGATGACCCCGGGACCCAGGTACCCCCACTCAAACAGGAGTGTAGGAAGTAGCCATGGGGAGCTGAATATAGTTCGGCTGTGTTACTGACTGACAGCCAGCCAGCGTGTTGCGGCTGGATTTCCCCGCCGACCTGGGCTGGGACGCAGTGGAGTTGGGTGGGCCCGCATCCCCCTAACCCCTGCCACCCCACCACAGGCCAAGAAGTCTGTGTTTGTCAGTGTTCCACCAGAGCTAGGACCCCTGACTGTTTGCTGCCCCGCCCTGTTTGAAGGCCTGGGTGAATAGACTGGTTACTGCGCTGTCCCGAGTACAGGCCTCGGCTTCCTGACTTTGCTGCCTGCCCTGTTGGAGGGCCTGGGCTAACAGATTCCTTAGCTGCTCTGTCCTGAATACCGGCCAGGGCCACCTAACA